TGTACCACTGCTGGATCGAGCCTTGCGGCCATTTCCAGCAGTAGTCGTCCACGTCGATTTGTTTCATTCATTCCCCACTCTGTCGCCCTTGCGTTAAAATCCCCCACAACGATGATATCACCGAGCAGGTCCCTGATCCCGTCTTCTAGGAGTGCCGCCTTTCTCTCGAACTCCATTGCGGTGCAGTTGCATTGCGATATTGAGCATTGTGCTGGTGAACTGCAAAGCCATTAAAATATCACAAGTAGCAATTGGAATGATCAATCTTTTATACGGAAACTCTCATCGCGAAGGCTAACAATAAGAGCAGCGGTCAAGAATAGAAGTACTTATATGATTGGGAAAGTGAAGGGAATGAAAAATAAGAAGTGTGTACAAAGAAAAGGGGCACGAATACTCACCCACGCAGCGATGCAACTTTTTAACCGGTTTCAAAAATCATCAGTCACTCAGCGGTCGCACTAATGCTCACCGTTGAGCAACAAGTTACCTTGAAATCAACGACGCCCGCAGAAGTCACATGCGTGCACGATAACAAGAATGACAGAGAAAGAGCTCACACTGCCACAGCGATCTCTGTTTCTGCTGTCGTTCCTGTAGCTGCTGCCTAACCGGTCCTGTTGTGGCTATAGTCCAGGTTAGTATAAGTGGCTATTTTCCGATGCCATCACTTTTTTCTGTTTTTCCTTTTCTCTCGCCACGCATCTTTGCTTATATGGTTCACCAAATTTCACGCTGCTCCTTTCTCCAAGTCCTGTAATCCGCACCTCAAACAGAAAATCCGAGTATAAGTGGTGCGCTCACATACACACACATGCGACCAGCTTATCAAAGGCGCGCGCTAAAATCGCAAGAGGCAACGATCGAAGAGGAAATAGCTAATCAAGTAGTTTTCTCTCGTCACAAATGTAGGATATATTGCAATAACAATAATCTATTTGGTAAACAGCACTACTCTGGTCCACTTTGTTAACACTGTCTTTACCCAACTTTATTAATTCATTAAATTTATTACTGGATTTCCCAATAACTTTATATTTGTGTCTCTATAATATAGATTTCAATTTATAACATAAATCTTTGTTGTATAGAATAAAAATATATTGTCGATGTTATTGGTGAGTCAATTGGTATTATTATTGATATTATTGTTAATATTGCTAATAATATTCAATCTATTTAAATACGTACTTCAATGAATTTCTCTGGATAACCTTCGTCAATTAATAATTTTCTTTCACTTTTTAAATTATTTTGATAATACGCAGTGTGTAAAAGTTTGATGGTTCTATCGACTAAATTACAAACACTTACTCTTTTCTGCGACGTCGAATGATCAAACTGAAAAAGTACAAAGTGATCTGAATAGGCATTTTTTCGATACCAGTTAGTTCAAATGATATTGTTTTCAAGTTTTAGATTGACTTCTAAATAATTACGCGAATTATTAATTTATTTTCGTAGTCGTTAGGATCTCATACTGAGCGGACGTATTCACGTTTGCTGTAGTATGTGAACTTAATAGCTTAAAAGGATAATTGTAATTCGGATTAAATTTAAAGGCTGTAAATAATCGGCAAGTAAGTAGCATACCTAGTCGCAAGTTTTTTTTCTTTTTTTCAAACCAAAGGCCAGCCAATATGGCTGCAAATAAACAAATAGAGGAAGAAACAACAACAAAAGAAAACTCAGAAGTAGCAAGTGAGAAAGTTATAGAATGGAAAAGGTAAAAACTTATTAAAGATTACTGGGTTGGTAATCCCAGCAACGTAGTAAATTTAAACAAAAATTTGAAATACTAACCGAAAAGGAAGGCTTCAAAAAAGGAACTAAAAACGCAAACACATCTTCAGCACAGGTAAATATAAAACCTGCAAAACCACTGCCGATATTTGTTAGTGGCGTATTGAACATTAGTCCTCTAAAAGCCCTTCTAGATGAAACTGCATAAAATGAATACTCGCTAAAAATTTTACTCAACAACGAAATTAACATTTAAATAGAAAATCCAGAATTATTTGTCTTAATAATTAACGAACTAGAAAAAAGCAACACCAACTTTTAAACATTCCAAAAAAAAAAAAAAAGAAAACAAATCTTATAAAGCGGTACTCAAAAATATTCACCCGTCAGTTAACCTAGAAGAAATAAAACAAGAAATCGAAACTTACAACCACAGCATAATCAAACATAGAATAACAAAGCAACCGCTACTCATCTTTTTCATTAAACTAAATACAAATGAAAATAATAAGGAAATTTATGAAATTAATAAATTAATGAATCAAATCATTAACTGTGAGCCTTCGCGTAAGAAAAGGGACATTCTGCAATGCATGAGCTGTCAGGAATATGGACATACGAAAAATTATTGTCATAGATTACCTGTTTACGTAAAATGTGCAAAAAATCATTTCACAATAGATTGTTCAATCAAAACTAAAATAAAAGATGTTAAATGTGCTAATTGCGGCGGAAATCATATAGCCAGCTACAAAGGATGTAGTGCAAGGAAAATTCTGCAGCAAAAATTATTTCCGGATTAAGATTGAAACAACTAAACACGAAAAATACCGTTATATCAAATGTTACGTATGCTCAGGTAGCAAACGGTAACGTACACAAAACAATAGAAGAACTCAAACGATCCCAGACTCTATCGTTAATAGTAAATAACAACAATTATCTGGAAAACATGATGACACAGCTAATGCAAAAAATGGACACGACACTAAATTTGCTCACTGCCTTAGTAAGCAAGATAAAATGAATATCGGATTAAAAGTGGCAATTTGGAACGTTAACAGTTTAGCGTAAAGAAATCTCGAACTAAAACCATTCCTTATAGTGAATGAAATTGATATAAAGATGATATCACAAGATCTCTTCACACATAAGAACTACGTGAAAATTCCACAATACTCATTTTATAACACAAATCATCCTGATGGTATATCACATGAAGAAATAGTTATAAAAATTAAAAATATTATCAAACAACGCGAAGGCGACACATACAAATGTGATCATATACAAGCAACAAACATTATAATTGTAGATAAAACTGGCCCAGTCTTTTTCTCTACCATATACTGCTCCCCCCCCCCCGATTAACATACTATTACAAAAAAACAATACAAAAATTGTTTTAACCGCCTAGAAAATCTTTTTGTCACAGGAGGTAACTACAATGCAAAACATCCGTGGTGGAGGTCACGATCAATAACTGCAAATCCAAAAGAAGCGAATCTATATTCAGTAATGTAATCAGAAAACCTCACACCAATATCAACCGCCGAACTCATATTCTGACCCTCAGACACTAATAATCTACTTGATCTAATAGATTTTGGAATTTTCAAAGGACTGTGTCTCAATTTTGATGAAAAAAATACAAAAATAAAAAATTACCTCGAAAACCTATCTGCTACACCGGCTTCTAACTATTCTCTTTGGAAAGCTACAAAAAAATTAAACAACCTAAAAAATTTTCTCCACCTATACTAAAAACGATATGACATAGGCACGAAAAGATATTAATAAAGCAAAAACTCTTGCAAAGCATCTTGAACAAGTGTTTTCCTCACCATAATGCAACATATCAACTGAAGAAGAATACACGATATTAAATAGCTTGCAAAATAAAAACGGCGAGAACTATTCAATAACGTTAAAATTACTTAAATAAAAAACATAATCACCAAAATCAAACATTGAAATTATTGAACGATTTCAAAACAAAGCCTTAAGAACTATCACAAATGCACCGTGGTTTGTTACCAACAAATTAATTAGGAAGGACTTTGCCATACCGATTATTAAAGAAGAAACAGAAATTACTTGCAAAAGATACACCATACGAATGACAGAACAACTTAATAGTTTAGCGAATTTAATCCACACAACGCCAAAAATTTCAAGATTCAAGAAACATAAATCACCATTTATACACAAATAAATTAACCATGTAAAAGAAATAAAATCACTAGTGCGGGTCAATGGTAAAGTACTCTCACGTAACCTATTCATTTCAAAATTTATTTCTTCTGACGATACATTATATCATTTACTTATTGTTATTAGACAGATTGTAAATAAAATTTAGAATAAAAAAAATTAGTTTCTTTTTCTTTAGTAAAGTTAAAATTATCATTAAAACAATTAAAATTATTAAGATATTGTTCAATTTAAGATATACAGATAGCTGTACTCATTGTTCTCATTATTTCACTTGATGATGAAATTTTTCTATCTAAGATCAATCATCCCAGTTGCTACTTGAGATATTATAATGAACTTACAGTTTACCAGCACGATATTCAGTGTTGTAATCATTATATTGGGTATTGACTATTACCGCACGACTTGTCTGACATCGAGATGTCAATTTATTTCATAAATAAAATGAGATAAATGTTATCATTGCTTAAATTGTGAAAAGGGTTACTGTTTTTCTGCAAATTTATCAACTTATTTTATATGCAATACATTATTTAACCTTGAAAAAAGAAATTAATGACATTTACAAAAAGTTGACTGTTAAATAAACACTTTATATAAACATAAAATAATTTCAATAAAACTTTTAAAATTATATATATTAATAACTCAGTGAGCAATTTAAAAGAGCAAAATTTTGATTGAACAATGCAATTGAACGAAATACCGGGTCCCTACTTCTATAAACATAAAAGTATAGGGATAGGTCTTTTAAATATTCTGCATTAGTACATAATTTTGATAATAACTCAGACAATACTAATATACGAGAAAATAATATACGACAATACGTACACACATACGAGTATATAAACGCACAAACGCACACATACACACACACACAAGCATGCATTCACACTTATACTCGCACACACAATGCCATCCGAATACATCGCGTTCAATTTGCAATGCAAATATTGTAATTGAATTAATTTATGGAAGGAATACGAACTATATGATTAGACACCTTCATATGTTTATTAACAAAATTACCAAATTACCTCTTGGGGAATATCCTCTTCACGAACTTCTTGTAATACATGTTCCATTTCTGAATTACGAATATATACCAACATATAAGCATTAGTACAATGTTTTACTGTCATAGAAATGTCCTCATCCTGCCCTCCATAATTATGTTCGATGGCTTCTTGTTTAGAGCATCGAGAGACAACATCGTCATCAAATTTGCACCACTGTAAAAGAGAAAAGTATGACGTAAAAATAAAAGAAATCGATCAAGTCTTATCTATACCATATTTGTGAAATTTTGTGATGAAAAGATACTACTCTAAAATATAGCAATTATAAACTTGGTTAGACGACATTAACAAGATGTAGAAAGTAGTGTTGATAATTATATAATTATATAAATTATTGTATTATACATTATACAAATATTTTATTATACATTATATCCCACAGAGCAACAGCCAAGTAGACCTAGAACCGTGACTAGGTACTCCAGAAGGTTTTTGGGTCGCTGAAACCAAATCCAGCGGCAGAGTTTGTCCATCACGTCAGGTTCCCGAGATATCCTAACCTAAAAGTACAAAAAACACTGTTTTTGGCTAAGTTTGAGGTTATGTCAGATCTTTACTAGAAGTTTTTTTTTAACAGCCGACGGCATCTCAAAGAAGAACTCTAACCCTTCAAAACCCTTCATCCAAATTAAAAAAAATTTTTATTTTCGTTGAGATATCGATGTTTTTAAGTTTTGTATTTTGACGATATTTCAAAAAATAAAGTTGACCTTCAAATAACCTTGAAAATTACATTGAAGGTCAAGTTTGATGTCCTCGTCAGTTGACCTCCTCTGGACCATAAAACTGTTACCTGAAACATTTTTTGTGTACTTGGCAATGTTTTTAGTCATTCTACGGTTCAAGATAAAATGAGACACCCAGTATATACATGTACGAGGTGTGTTCAAAAAGTAACGAGAATTTTTAAATTTCGCGAATTTGGAGAGTCCGCTTGTATAAAATTTTTTTTTATTATGTTGGTACACATGCCCCTGAAGTACGATAAAATTTTCAGCAATATTCATCGTTTACTTTTTAAGTGGCAGCCGCTAACGTTAGACGTGTTTTTCGAGCTCGGCGATTTTCGTTTGTGAAAAAAAATGGATCAAAGAATTTGTATTAAATTTTGCGTAAAAAATGAAATAAAGTGTAGTAAAGTTTGTCAAATGTTAACAAAGGCATATAGTGAGTCTGCTATGAGTAAAGCAAGGATTCATGAGTGGTATAAGCGTTTCCAAGATGGCCACGAAAACGTTGAAGATGACGAACGACCCGGACGCCCAAGCACATCAACAACCGATGAAAACGTGAAAAAAGTGAAAGGAATGGTTATGAACGATCGCCGAATCACAATCAGAGAAGTCGCTGATGACGTTGGCATATCAGTTGGCTCATGCCATCAAATTTTTTCGAATGTTTTGGGTATGAAACGTGTAGCAGCAAAATTCGTTCCAAAATTGTTGAATTTCGAACAAAAACAGCGGCGAATGGAAGTTGCTCAGGAGTCGCTAAATGAAGTCAATAACGATGCAGAACTACTAAAACGTATTATAACAGGTGACGAAACATGGGTTTACGGATATGATGTCGAAACTAAGGCTCAATCGTCCCAGTGGAGGCATTCTGGATCGCCAAGACCGAAAAAGGCTCGACAAGTACGGTCGAATGTGAAGGTTATGCTCACTGTGTTCTTCGATTTTAATGGCATAGTGCATTATGAATTATTGCCACAAGGTCAAACAATCAATAAGCAGTACTACCTACAAGTTCAACGTCGTTTGCGTGAAGCAATCCGAAAAAAACGCCCGGATTTGTGGCAAAACAATTCATGGCTTTTGCACCACGATAATGCGCCTGCTCACACTTCATTGCTTGTTCGTGAATTTTTGGCCAAAAACGAAACTGTAACGATGCCTCAGCCTCCATATTCGCCAGATATGGCTCCATGTGACTTTTTTCTATTTCCAAAAATAAAGAGAACATTAAAAGGCCGTCGTTTTACAAGCATAGATGACATTAAAAGCGAATCGCTGAAAGAGCTAAAAGCTATTACAAAGATCGAGTTTCGAAAGTGTTTCGCGGATTAGAAAAAGCGTTGGCATAAGTGTATTGTATCCGAAGGGGACTACTTTGAAGGCGACAACATTAATGTAGATGAATAAATAAATATTTTTTTCATAAAACGAAAATTCTCGTTATTTTTTGAACACACCTCGTATGTACGTATGCGTATACTCGTACAGAGGGTGGTCCACTTTAACCCATTAAGGCCCAAATGTCCTAAATTTTCAACGAATCTTCATGCAGTTATTTTTCATATTATCTGCACCAAAAAAAATTTCCAACACATCATATCCGACGTAAAATTTGATGTTCTTTCAGAATATGGCTTCAGAATTTGTCTAAAGTCACTGCTAAAAAAGCTATAATTAAATATTTGCAAAAGAAAGTGATTTTTTCAACTTAAAAAGATTTTTTATTCAAAATTTTTTTAAGAAATTGATAAAGATGCACATCTTTTTACAGCTAGAAACGTGTCCTCGAGTCCTAAATTTTAAGACATGGGGTACAAAATCGAAAATCCAACATGGCGGTTCTCAAAATGGCGTCCGAAGTGATAATATTTTGAAAAATTTCAGGATGCTATAACTTGAAAATTATGAGCTTTTCTGAAAAAATGCTTAGAATGAAAAGTTCTTAGAATTCATCAAGAAATATACTGGAATTTTTTTCAGATTTTTTTTCATGAAATTTTGAAAATTTTTTTTTTTGGATTTTTTAAAATTTTTAAAAATTTATAAAAAATTCTGGAAAAATTCCAGTGTATTTTTTGATGAATTCTAAGTATTTTTTGTTCTTTCTAATTTTTTCCAAAAGTTGATAGTTTTCGAGAAAAATAATCATAAACATGTTATATATATGTATTGTGACGGTAAACGTCAAATTAGCGCTGATTATTTAGCTTAATTGCTGCCTGTGAGGGCAGCACCTGCCGGGGGGACGAAATAGGTAACGAAGGAATTCGGCACGCGAGCAGACGGAATGCGCGCGACAGAATTCGAACCAGTGAAGCCTAGACCATCATTGTGTCCGCCCGCTTTCGTTATGTTGGGCGTCAGATTGGACACCACCCACGCGGGAACAGCAGGATTACCAGACGGTCGTAAGTTAACGATCGTCGGTCACGCCATGCTACCATTCACCGTGGGAGGGTTGACGTTGCCGACGAGAGTAGCCATCCTCCCTACCCTCGTAGAAGAATGTATTTTAGGAGTGAACTTCATCAGGTTGTTCAGAGCGGTAGTTGATCCAGACGATAACACGTTGCTGTTCAAGGGATCGCAGGCCAAAATGGAGCTAGAAGTAGCTAGCTTGGAGGCTGGTCCGAGATTAGCCACAATCGGACTAGCCGAGGTTACGGCTACACAACAGACCATGCTACAGAAGACCATCGACGAGGCCCTATCCCGAGCCCCGAAGGGCTTGGCATGTGCGGCAGGCATCGAGCACGAGATTCGGTTCGGTGATACGAAGCCAATTAAACAGCGTTACTACCCGGTATCGCACAAGGTCGAGCAGGAAATGCATAGACTGGTAAGGGAAATGTTAACCCAAGGGGTAATCGAACCAGCTGACAGTGGCTGGTCGAGCCCAGTGGTTATGATACGCAAGAAGGACGGTTCGTACAGATTTTGTATTGACTTCAGAAAGGTCAACAAAGTCACCGACCCGAATGCGTATCCCTTGCCGTTTATGCAAGATATATTAAGGCGTTTGCGAAACGCACGCTATATATCGACGCTCGACCTCAGTAGCGCGTATCACCAGATCCCACTCAAGATCGAATCTCGGCCGATTACGGCCTTTACCGTACCCGGACTGGGACATTACCAGTTCGCACGAAGTGCCACCTTCCAGCGGTTGATCGATAGTGTGATCGGCCCCGAATTAGGCGAATTCGCCTTCGCCTATTTGGACGATATCATAGTGGTATCGTCCAATTTCGAGGATCACCTACGACATCTAAAAACCGTATTGGACAGGGTGTGCGAAGCTGGTCTCTCGATCAATCGAGAGAAAAGCGTCTTCTGCAAGTCTGAAGCCAAATACCTGGGCCTGTTGATCAACCGCGAGGGGATCAGGCCAGATCCAGAAAAGGGGCGCTCTATCATGGAGTACCCACGACCAGGAAACGTGCGTCAGCTGCGCACCTTCCTGGGAGTTGCTTCGTGGTACCGCAGATTCTTGACCGACTTCGCCACACACGCTCAACCGTTAACGAGGTTAACAGGAAAAAAGAGCGAATATGTGTGGGGAGAGGAACAGGAACAAGCCTTCGCCAAAATTAAGGAACTCATGATGTCCGCACCATGCCTGGGATTACCGGAACCAGATGGGCAGTACGTGCTGGGGACAGATGCTAGCGCTACCGGAATCGGGGCCGTCCTGATACAAAAAGCAGGAGACGGCGACCGAATCATAGAGTACGCTAGCAGAGTCCTTAATCCGGCTGAGCAAAACTTCTCAGCTACGGAGCGCGAATGCTTGGCGGTCGTGTGGGCCATCCAAAAGTTTCGCCCATACATAGAAGCGTACCCGTTCAGGGTGGTAACTGACCACAATAGCCTGAAATGGCTATACAACCTGAAGAATCCAATTGGACGTCTCGCCCGATGGGCCTTACAACTTCAAGGCCATACTTTCGAGATCGAATACCGAAAGAGGGCAGACAATGTGTTGCCCGACGCCTTATCACACGCTTTCGAGCCCACGAAGGCAGAGGTTGGCGCAATGGACCAGCCGAAGCCAAGGGACAGCGCCTGGTACACGGATCAATTCCGGCGCGTCGAGAGCCAACCAGAACAATACCCGAATTGGAAGGTTGTCGTCCGGGTGATGTATCACCGAAAGCCGAATTACGATCATCAAGGAGGAGACGGATATGGCGACGAATGGAAACTCGTCGTACCCCCGGAAGAACGCAAAGCGGTGTTCTTCGAAAATCATGACCTAGAGACGGCAGGACACTTAGGACGCGAGAAGACCTTCGCCCGCGTCACCTAGTCCTATTACTGGCCGGGAATGTACACGGATGTGAAGGGATACGTCCGGAAGTGCCAGGTCTGCCAACAGTGCAAGGTCGAACAGCGGCCGCCGCGCGGGCTCATGCA